TGGCAGCTAAGGACACTCACAGACACAGTTAGGAAGTGTCCGCTGTGAGGTGCTCCTCAGAGGCCAGACTTTCTTTCCCCATGCCTGAGCCTCATAGAGAAGAGGGAGGGGTCTAAGACTTGGCGCTTGTGGGGAGAAAGGCTCAATGTAACTGTGGAAGACAGCTGGCTTCTTGGACAAGAAGAGCGTGCATTGAGTCCACCTGAACTGGAAAAATCGTAGTACATGGAGTCCCCAGGCCTGGAGAGGGGTCGGACCGGGTCCCCACACATCTCCATCTCAGCCCGGCCCTTGCTGCAGCCCTTGCTGCCGGCTCACTGTGGCTGCTGGTGGACATCCTGCAGAGCAGTCTCCAGGGCCTGAGGATGTGCTGGCTCCTAGTGCTCGCATTTGGCAGCAACTGAGCCCTCTGAACATCCTGGCCTAGCCAGACAGCCAGGCCTGAGGGACGTGGTGTTGGCCAGCAGCGTCTGCCTCGCATTAAGAGCACGCTGCCCCCCTTCATCCATCTGGCTGTTCTCCTGAGACTGCTGGAGAACAAGTGTGCTGTTTGGTAACGGCCTGCTGCAGGCATGTTCCTGGGCCATCCTGAGAGAATCTAATCCTCCTCCGTCTTATCTTCGGCCTCCACAGCCCCAGAATTCAGCTCCTATTGTCAACCTAATTATCCCAATCCCAGTATGTTTGATGCCAACCAGCCAGCCAGCAGAGGTACTTCCCTGCCAGAAGTGAACCACTGGCTAGAACTAAAACCTTACTGAAGAACCCTGTGAAGAGTGGTGTGGGGTAGGGAGTAGGGAGAGCAGGGCTGTGGGTCTTCCTGAGCTGGCAAGCCCCTGCCCAGAGCTTCTGACTGCAGAGGCCCTGCTGAGCCAACCCTGTGGAAAGGAAAGTGGGAAGGGGTGCGAGGGCCCTCACAGTCTCCTTTGTGTAGGATGCCCGTATTCCCTATTGCCTCCCTGTCTCAAAGTATGTCCAGTGGTGCTCTGTGAGCTGACTGTTCAGTCTCTTCCTGCTCATCTGAATTTGTATTAGTGCATTGTCTTGATCAGCTTGGGTTCCCATAACAAAATGTCATAGACCAAGTGGCTGACACAGCAGAACTTTATTTTTCTTTCTTCAGAAAACTGCCTTTGGCTTGTTCGTGGCTACCTCCCTGCACCGGGCTCTTATGGTGGGGGAAAGAGAAGGGAGGAAGGAGGGAGGGAGAAAAGAGTGAGTAAGAGGGTAGTAATGCTGTAAGCTCAAGCCTCCACCTTTAGGAGCTCATGTAACCTTAATCACATCTGCTTCCAAATGCAGTCACATGAAGAGTTAGGGTTTCAACATACTCATTGGGGGTAGAGAAATGATGTCTATAGGTAACATGGGGGAGAGGGATGGGGGAGAGGGATGGGAGAGAGGGCAGGGAGGGAGGGAGGGAGGGAGGGAGGAGAGAGAGAGAGAGAGAGAGAGAGAGAGAGAGAGAGAGAGCGCACACACAAGAACAGATAGAACCAGCTGGCTGTGGACCAGACCCTTGGGTGTGTGTTGCCTGCTGTGCTGTAGCTATAACTGTACCCTTTGTGTCCCTGTGGAATGGTACACAAAGTACTGTCACAGTACACGGTACAACAATACTGTAACTTTGTGACATGAACACCTAAGTCAAAACATTTCTTAGGTCCCAAATTTCAGGTGAAGTGCGTGGGTGTTGGGTTAGGTTTCTGCATCTGTGACAAACTAATTGGAGGTTTTAAACTTAAAAGAAGAAAGATGTACCTCTGGTTCATGGTTCTAGCCCATGGTTGCTTGGCCCTCTTGCTTGGGACCTGTGCTAGAGCAGATCATAATTGTAAGTGGGCAGGTGGAAGAGACTGCTTGCCGCCTGGTGACTGGGAAGCAGATGGAGAAAAAGGGTGCCCGGGGTCCAGGGTCCCCTTCCAGCACACCCCAGTGCCCTAACTTTCTCTCATTAGGCTCCACTTCCTAAAAGCTGTATCACTGCCCCATAGTGTCACAGACTGGCTGGGGACCAAGCCTTTAATGCATGGGACTTGGAAGGCCATTTAAGATCTGAACCATTTTAGGAGAGATTATTTTCTTAATTTATTTCATTACAACTGATCATTTTTTATTTTAGTTAAATGTATAGGTCTAGTTTAGATATTCATAATGATCATGTTGCTCATGGAGAATTTGTACCTGTCCATGTAACATCCTTAATTCATCTTTTTTCCCCATTCCCTTCCCCTGCCTTCAACCCCTCTCCCCCTCCTTATTTACAAAGCTTTGTTTTCCCTTCATCCTTCTATTACAGCTGATTAAATAGTAGATTGTAAACTGAAACACTGGTAAGAATGAGATCACATAGCCCAGCCAGAGGGAAGAACAGCTTCCTCCAATCTAAACATCTCACAAGGGTGGGGAGAGATAGGAAAGCAGAGAAATTATCTGAGGAGAGCTGGAGTCCAGACTGTGTGCTGGTGTTTCAGAACACTGCCCAGGTGGGATTTCCTTCACCTACAAAGCCCATGAGTCAGGTCAGCCGCCGCACCCTGTCCTCAGCCCCAGTGCCTAGAAAGCCCAATTCTCGTGCACAGGCGGGTGATCTACGATTCGAGAGCAAAGTCTGGAGTCAGTCCGCTGCGATCATTGCTGCTCACCAGCTCCAGGTGCAGGCGCAGGGTAGGCGACTTCTCTGAGTTCCCGTCTCCACATGAGGGTGAACACTTATCTCAGAGTCATTGCAGAAGTCGTATGAGACTGTGTCTACTAAGCGCTTGCTACTGAAAAAGCGCACACTGATTACTGTAAACCGGCATGCTTCCGGTCCCATGATTTGTGATGGGTGGCACTGCCAACTCCTCACTTTCTACCTATCTCTTCCCTATGCTCTAGGGCCAGCCTAGTCATTTCTTTTTATTGTGAAACATTTTTTTTTCCTAGATCATATCTCGTGTGGAACCCCACTATCTATCGTTGGTGGATGTGGAGATGTAATAGTTGAAGATAGAACAGGGCTAGACATCCCCAGAAAGTTTCAAGAAAAGCTTCGCTTCTAGAAGAGTCCCAGGAGTCCCTTCTTATTACTGCTCTCCTCCCAGTCAAAAAGTACCACCTGGTACAGCACAAGGCAACTGTTCCTGCCGCCTGAGGAGCCACCCCATTCCTGTCTTCTCCCTGACGTCACCCTGGTGGGGTTTTCAGTGCTCCCAGTAACGTGTCTGTGGTCCTCTGGCCACCCCTACAGGGGCACATCTCAGGTGAATGTGGGCGTTGGCAGTTAATTCAGAAGCCCACTTTATTGCCTTTGTCTTGGGTTCCTCTTCTTTGGCCCATGCACCGTCACCCGAGTGAATGGAATTTTGTTTTTCTTGTTCAGTGAGTTATGCATACAAATATATGCACAATTGGGGAAAGTGCTATGGAATATTCTCTGTCCTGGATTTTAACTTGTGAGACAGTATGGGAACAGTACCTGGAAAAGACAGCATGGATCTGGATCTGTCCATTTAGCCACCCCAGAGAATCGGGGGCTCTGTGTCGGTGGAGTCTGTTTGCCTTGAAAGATTTAAGTTTTAGGTGTCTTTTTTTTTCTATAATGGGATTATTTAGATAGAATTTACATGAGGCCGGGAGATAGCTTGGTGGTCTAAGCAGTTCAATCCCGGTACCACATGCTATGCTAGGCCCAGAACTCCATGAACACTGAGCCGGCCACCGAAAGCAGGCGTGGTGGTACACACCTGTAATCCCAGCACTGAGAGCTTGAGACAGAAGGATCTCTACAAGCTGCATAGTAAAACTGTACCAAATTTTTTTTAAAAATTTAAATTAGATATAATTTACATACCACATAATTTACATATTTAAAGGATACAGTTCAGCTCTTTTTACTGTATTCCCAGAACTGTGCAGCTATCTTGACTGTAAATTCAGGACATCCCTCTAAGTCCCCTACCCCACTCAGTCAGCCATTAGTCTGCTTGCATTGTCTTTATATCCTAGCGTGTAGAAAAACCCCATTTTAGTTTTCCATCAGTTGATGAACATTTGGGTTCTTTCCACCTTCTGCCACATATAGAATAACATGGCTATAAATGTTTGTAATCATTTTTGTTTGTAGATTTTTGTTTCTGTAACTTACCCTATCAAGACAATTAAGGATTTTAGTTGCTAGTTATACCTGCTATGTGCAAGATCCGGGGTTGAGCACTTATTACTCCTGTAATCTTCACAGAAGCCCAAGGAAGAACCTTCTCCCCATTTTCCATATGAGCAAACCGGGGTTCCATGGTTAATAAAGGGTAGAAGTGCCTTTCTGTGACCCTGTAGCCCTGGTTCTCGTGCTCCTTCCAAAAGCTGGCAGGAGCATGTTGGAACTGCACCATCCCAGCTGTCCCCACAGAGTGATCAAGTCTAGATGAGGGGCCACCTAATGTGACTGTCTTAACTGAATCCTCATACCACGTGGTTGCCTTCCTAGCCCTAAAATTGAATGAAGAAAAAAGGTCCAGAGCAGGTGCATGGCTCACCCAGGTAACGTAGTTCGTGGGCACCAGAGGCTGGGGCCCCAGTGTCAGCAGTGGCCTGCGCTGCTCCTTGGTCCCTGTGGTGCTCCCTCACTGACTGGGCCTAACCCTCTCTCACCTTGGGAAGAGGTTCTCTTATGCCTGGATTTCCACTCTCAAAGGTTGGCGCATGTGTGGTGCTCTGTGTGTACACAGATGCACAACCAAGGGTGTCAATGTGCCTGGGCCTCAGTGGCCTCATACAGACATACCCTGGTGGCCTGCTACTATATTTACAGAGTCCCTGAGGGGCACACCCACATTCAGATTCACCTGCCTGCAAACAGAACCCCTGAAGCATGGGAAGAGCTTGCATTTACAATAGTGCTGAGATGAGAGACTTAGCAATCTACCTGGAAATGGAAGAGGGTAGTTGGGAGAGGTTTGGGGAAGAGGTAACAGTCGTGGGTGATGTACCAACTGTTCCGTGTGCTTGCCTGCCCACAGCTGCTATCTTGGATGACCCCATGGAATGCAGCAGAGGGGAGAGGCTCTCCATCACCCTGGCCAAGAACCGCATCAACCGCGCTCCTGAGAGGCTGGGCAAGGCCAAGGTCGAAGTGGACATCTTTGAGCTGCTCAGAGACAGCGAGTACGAGACTGCAGAAACCAGTACGTAGAATGGACGGGGCTGGAGGAGGATTAGCTGGTGGTGTGAGCTGCACCTTGCCAGGTCTCTGCTAGAGACACCCTGGGGGAGGGGGAAAAGCAGGAAGGTCTTTGAGGAGTACAGCCTGTATGAGACTTTTGTTGTGAAGAATAAAGACAGAATGCTAATTATTTCATTTACTTAGGGGTCCTGGCCCTAGCTCAGTCCTTTAAGTGGCTGCTTCCACAAAGCTGTCAGCCTCAGGTTGCTGGAGTTCGAGCCTCACAACTCTCCCGCTGGCCAAAAGTGCCCTGAAGGCATTCGAGGACCAAAAAAAAAAAATCCTTATATATATTTCATTTACTCATCTACCTACTCAGCCGCCTCTGAACAAGTGCCCGACCTTGTAAACCAAGTGCACAATCCGCTGTGCCCCCTCTGTGGCACCACGGCCTGTTGCTCATATGACTCTGGCAATTTTGAGTTGAAATGACAGTAAAAAAAGAAGATGCCTTTCAACCCAAGAGAAAGTGAGACTGGGTGTGGTGGTGTGCACCTGTAATCTCAGCTCTTGGGAGGCTGTAAACAGGTGGATCACTACTAGTCTAATCTAGTAGTGAGACCCTGAACACCCTGTAGACCCTTCCCTAAAATACAAAAAACCAGAAAACCCAATGGAAAGCAAAGTAGTTAGGAAAAAGAGGGGTTTGGTTCCCATTATCCCCTGCAAGGGCAGGCCCCACCACCTCCCAGTAGTACCACAGACCAGAAACTAAGTCTTTAACACAGGGCCTTCAGGCAACACTCAAAATCCAAACTATAGCAAGAGCCTCTAAGCCCAGACTAGCTAGCACTCATTCCCTAAGACTTGGAAGCGTCTCCTCCTGTTCAACCCACTTGAATTGTTAACAACCCTCAATGGCAAAAGCATATAAATAAAATAGAAAAAAAGAACTAGTTACTTATTTGTGTCAAACATCAGATCTTCCATATGAGGACCAAAAAGTGTTCTAGACTGGGCTGCTAGAGTTGTGAGAAAGAAAATACTTTCATAGTGCCCAAGTACAGCAGGTGAGGTGTTGGCAGGACCCAGAAAAGGGAGACGAGGAGGAAGGTGGTGACCCCAAGACCTGCCAACCGCTCTCTTTTGTGTTTACAACTGCTGTAATGCTTTCGCACTGTTGGAACTAAGCTCGTTCCTCTGTGAGTTTGATTTCCTTAGTTTTGTCTTGCCCTTGTCTCATAGTGGCTTCCGAGGCCTGATTAACTCTTTGTTTATTCATTGATGAGCTTTGTGGGGGTGCGTCAGTGGCAGCTTCCCACAGTGGCTCTTCCTCAGGGTTGCTGAGGTGGAGAACCTGATGGATCCAGCTCGTTTTGCTGTGTGGTCAGTCTCACAAGTATTGGCCAGATTGTCCACTGGCTACCCTTGATGACTGTGCCCACTTTCTGGTCCTGTAGCTGTGACCGAGGGTGTATTATGCTGTGCCAAACAGTGCTAGTGAGGCCCTCAGGAGCATGGATGCCTCCAGACAGGGGATGGTGGAATGAGAAGCAAAATAGTTGTTCATGTGTTCATTAACTCATTGAGTCAGTGAATATTTATTGAGTTACTATTATGCTTGGTTCTAGGGAATAAGAGTTTATCAGGGAAGAGATAAAAGTCCTGCTTGTCATAGAGGTTAATTTGTAGTACAATGAACGGAAAATTCGATTTCCCAAGATCTTCCAAGTGAAATCGGATATACCAGCAGTGACTTCCAGTGGATCTTCTAGTCCTGTCTGCAGGATTTCTTTGTTTAGATCTTAGATGAGGGCTCAGACTTCTAAACAGTTCTGAAGTCCATTTGTACTGAGTCCATCAGCCCCACCTATGGGCTTCCCTGGCAGGACCAAAAGTGCAGATTTGCCTGCTGTGGATGGCATCATTACCAGATGGAAATTTCCACTCCCAGTGACCCAGGCAGCCTGCTTGGTGAAGTCAATGCACATAAAATATTAAGCCAGGTGAATTGGGAATAAAGGAAATTGACATCTTTATTCAGAGCTTTGGGTATCTTTGTATTGCCCTTCATTTAGGTGCCAGATATTTTATTAGCAAGTAGCCCTCATTCAGCTTTTACATCTTACTGTATTGTAGACATGATTAAATTTGTTAGAAAATGAAACTTCTGGATCTTTCTACCCCAAAGGCCTTTGTGTTATGGGAAGCTGGAGTGCTGTCCCACAGTGGGATTTAAACAGTTCAGACTAAGCAGTTCATACACAGGTTCCACCTGCCCAAAGTAAGGGCATGATAGATGGATGGTAGGTCAGTGCTGCTGGCTGAACTGGGGGGACAGGGAGTGGATGTCAGTGGAGGAAGTAGGGGAAGGAACACAGAAAAGGGGCAGCACCCCTGGGTGGAAGAGGACTGCAAGCTCTGTGATTCTTCCTTTGAGCCATCTGTGTAGTATAAAAATTAGGATCGTGGGTTTCAGAATCAGACCAACTCGGGTTATGTTCTGCTTGTGCCGTTGATGAGCTGTATAACGAGACAGGCTGCTTCACCATTTTATGTTTCAGTTTTCTTATTTGTAAAACAAGAGGGACGGTAATGCCACTTTAAGGGTTGTTCAGAGCACCCCACAAGATGGTGGGGGCAGCCTTTGCCACCATTCACGCAGGGATAGTAAGTGAACACGTGCAGCTTTTGTTGGCTTTGTTCTCTTCCAGTCGCAGCTGAGCAGGCTGCCTCTCAGTGTCTTTACCCTGTTTCAAAGTTAGGCCATAACCACGTGGCAGCACTGTCCCCAGGCTCTTCTCAGGTGGCTTGCGGAATGTCAACAGCCGTCCTAGTTGGATAGTCCCCTTCTCTTTCCAGTTATCCGGGCTTGATGCATCCAAAAGCTTTGAGCTTGGGAGGTAATGGTGGGCTCCCCCAAGCCAACTGCCCCTCAGTGTCACTGACTCGTTTTTCCCTGGACTGGAGGGCCAAGGCCAGTTTGCATCACTGATTTAAAAATGTGCATGTGGCCCCATGACGCTGAACAACTCCCCCAAGTTCACACCTGTCACGCTGTGGCCAGGGAATTTGCTTCAAGGGAACGAAAGATCCCCGGGGATAATGTTTGTGGCTGTAGGGCACAGAAACCGCCACTGAAGCAGCGGCTGTAGCAGCCCAGCAGGGCACAGTGAGGCCTCGCTTTCTGTAATAGGAGGGATTCCAAAGCTCAGTCCACGTCCCACTTAGTGAATTGCTTTCGGGTTGGGCACGTCATTCCAGGGAAGCAGCGGTTATTTTGAGAATTAAAGATGGTGAAGTTCAAAGAAGGTAAAGATGCTGGAATCTAGGAATTCACCTTGTATGATGTTTGAATATGAGGCTCAGAGTGAGAAAGCATCACATGGGGCATTATTTACCGGCCAGCCTGGGAGCTTGAAAGATGGCAGTAGAAATCACCGTCCCCCCATACTATCAGGTTCAAATAGACTGGTTTTCGTAGAGTAGGTTTAGTTAAAGTGAGGGTCAATGTAAAGCTCCCTGCAACCCATTGGGGCTCCCCCAACCTCTGCCCTTTCACCATTACTGCCTCGGGCTTCTAGATGTTTGACTTCCGAGCTCCCCCCACAGCTCAAGGATCTTAAATAAAAGGGCTGGCCAAGACCTGTGAGGTCATCTCCCCTCCCAGCGGAGCATTCCTCCCCCTCTCCCATATCTCGTCTCCATCACAGCCTTTCTTTTTGCAGGGAGCTTCCCGCCAGACAGGGCAGTCCTCTGTTCCACAGATCACTGTGTCTCCTGCAGTGACTGTATTAGAGCTTAACTAAACGCCACCCCTGTACCACCCAGATACCCCGAGGCGCCATCCCTGCTGCTGCCAGAGACAGTTTGCAGTTTAATTTACTGCAGAGCTGTAAGCAGGGGCTTCCCTAGCAAAACTTCTTTCTTGCCTCGGTTTGTCTCTGTGAGCCAAGCATGCCATCAGCTGTCCCCAGGGCCTCTCCTGGAAGCCCAGAGGCTCACTAATGACAGGGCCTGCTTTGGCTCCAGTGTGCCCAGCCTGGAGCTCAGCATGTGATGTTCTCTTCCTGCACCAGCTGCCGAGCTCCTTGGTGGTCCACGGGCCTTATTCCAGGGGGATGAGACTACCTCTCCTAGGTGAGGGCCAGCATCCCTCCATCAGCCTGACAGAGTAAACTGAGGTCAGCATAAGGAAAGAGAAATTGAGAAGCCAGAAGAGACATGCATATAAATAATGAAATTTGATGATGAGTCACTCAACAAGCATTCCTTGCTCCCCTTTCTCCAGTTACCCACCTCACGTATGCACAATGCAGGCTTGAAAATGCATCAAGCTGCAGCACCTAGAAATCCTCTGGTCCAGAGCCCTCGCTGTGCAGACGAGGCGACTGGCCCTCCCTTGTACTGTCTTCCAGGAAGAAGTTGAGATCCAAATGTCTGTAAAGTGACCTAATGCCTACATAGATCTCCTTTGGTGTACGAGGGAGTCCTTCAGACAAGACGTCAGACCAGAATAGAGGCCAGGTGCACAAGGGAGGGGTCCGGGCCAGCCCTTGGCATTTTCCATAGGTGAAGAAAACAGGAAAAAAAGCATCCAGCTAGGTGGGACGATAGCATGAGCAAAGGCTTGAGCCTGGACAGAGGGTTTGTGTAGGTGGCAGGGCAGATGTGCATAGCAGTGAGAGTTTACCTGGGGCAGAAGGGAGGCCAGAGCTGGTAGGCAGGAGAGACCAGCACCCATACTTGGGCAGGAATCGGATGTGGCAGGATTCTATCCATTACGCTAACAGCGCTGTGGGGTGACACCTTGTGCCTCCAAGTCCTGGTCAGGAATAATTAAAATCTCGCCAGAGTGGGAGGGGCTGCAATTCTGATATCAGGAGATTATTGTGAGGATGAAGAGAGATGCTTGTGACTTAGGGCAGTGCCTGGCGTGATGCCAGCTCACAGCAGATTTTCCATGTGCCCATGATCAGTGGTAGAATAGGCACCGCAAGGCCTCTGAGGGCATCATAGGGA